TATAATTCTAACAGAGCGAAATTCGCGCCGCGTCGTAAATAGCGAGCCGCGCTACTGTCGTATTTGTAATCGACGTAATCTGTCTAATACGACAATGAAGTCGGTTACCCATTAAACCGTTATTGAAATCGTATACGATTACGCGAATTACAGCGGTAGTTCGACGTGCGTCATTGTGAAATACACACACACCCACACACCCGAGAGCATTTCTACACAACGCGTCAACTGGAAACACAGGCAAATATCCACGAATGCATTTGACACAATTGCACAATAACGATATATGACTATTTCATTTTGCCGTGTTGAAATTCTGTTATATCAGATGTATCGTTCCAAAGTCTTCGATATTTTCATTTCAAAATATTCACAAAAAATATCCCTCATAAAAAATACTCATGAGAAAAGGAAGACATTAGCGTTTTGAAGAACTGCATTTGAAACAATTTAAAAAACTGTACAATGCAATTCTATTATTAAATTACTTAGCGCAGTGCTGATTTCTCGATACATGTAATCTGCAGAAGGACGTTCCATATACGATTGTCATATTTTTAGTTCATTGGACACGTAAATGTGTTCAAGAAGCTTTTTGTTTTGCTATCGGCTTCCGTGTTCATTGGCTGCTCTTCAATTTATTCGCCGAGTAATTACGTTTATTGCAAGCGACGGAACATCAAGGGATGGCTTTTAATGCGGTCACCAGCGCGATTATACGATCATGAATTTTCAATCTTCTGTAAATCGCGTAATTTTCTTATCGAATAAACATACCTTGTCGTAAAAAAAAAGTGCGAAAAAGGTTCTAAAATTTCGCGATACGCGCTTCAAAGGGGAGCGAAAAGACCGTAATTCACGATACAGAAACCAGAGCAGATGTCACGCAATATTTCTGAGGTTTCTATTACAGGCGATAAAAAATGAAAGACGCACGTGAGGAGGCACATGGGCGCGTCGGGTAGTTCCTTTTCTAGGATGATGTGAATATCCTGCTTTCAGGATAAACATACCGCCTCATGATATTCTCCGACGAGTGTCGCTCTATTTCAGAGCGTACATTTGTAGAGCGATCACTTAATTTTAGCCGGAAAGCTCGTGTCTGGCGCAAACACTTAATTTCAATTTTTCAGATATATGTGAAATTAAAGACACATCGCCACACCACGTATTCTCCTCTTTTTTCTCCAATCAATCAGATAGGTTTTCCATTATAACTTATGCAATAACGATTTTAAAAGAGCAGCAGCGAAGCAACGATGGTAATAACGGTTTCATCGGCGCCGCAAAAATCCGCAGAATGTAATTCGTCACGAAAAACGATGCAAGAACGTAACTGCGATATTTTTGCGGCGACGTTTTCAAAATTGAATTGTTCTCGCGCGTTGCGCGTCGCATCCCGATATGACTCTCGTTTTTGTTTTTTTTCACACAAGAATGAAAGAATAAACAATATTTATGACGAGCTGCTTTGGTGTGGCCTGCAGTCGTACTATAACGCGATTTACTATTATCTTTATTTTTCGACTTCTATTTTCGTACGCGGCATTAAATTTATATACGTATCCTTTTATCGTCACTTTTTATCATCGTCATATTGTTCCACTCGGCATTTACTGCTGCAGTTTATCGTAACGCAATCTTTTTGTGTGGACCAGCCGCAAGTGGACCAGGGCGTCCTTTCGCGCAAATTCGCCACCAAGCCGCGTACGAGCACGGTCGTCAGTTGGTTAACCTACAATATCCTAACTTCCGCTCGTATATGGTCGCTCTATTTGGCTATCTAATAATTTCTCTATTGTAAACACGTTCGCGACATAATATTGTTTTCTTATTATTCTGCGTTTAAAAAATTTTTCTCTGTACGTATCAATAATGCGCAACTAAAAATAGATTACGTAAAAAGACAAAAACAATAAAAAGATAAATAAAATTTAGCTAAAGATAAATAAACATTGATAACAATGATAAATTTATACTTGTTATATATTTTATGTGCGTGAATCAGATTTAGCAATCATGCAATAATTTATTTAATATTTTAGAATAAAACATCTTTTATATTAAGAAAGTATGATTATTAAAATATTCACGGTCGCAACTTTCAATTGAAGCATTAGCATTGTTATAAAGTCAATAATTTTGTCTTACATTTTATCATATCCAAAAAAAAATGAGATGATTTGTGAACAGAAATTAAAATCAATTAGAAATCGTAGTTTCTTATCTTATAGATATTACAAAATGTTTAGAATTATCGTATCTTTGAATGACTATATTACATACGCAAATGTCACATTATCGCGCAATAACATCGATGCATCGATTAGCATATTTCGACATGCGAAACGTATAAACGCTGATATATTAACGCACTCTCTGCTTAGCGATTCGTTATTGCGAAGTACAATTGCGTTTTGTCGGGAGCGAATCATTTAGAAATTTAATGTCATGAATGTTAAGTAACGTCCCTCGTTTGCGTCGCTCGTTAATGTACCGAGGGAGCAGGTAATTCGGTAAGCATAAATTTTAGAGCTGCTGTTCCGCATCCGCCATGCTGTCGGGTCCAATGTTTCAATCAAGTCTACTCCAACATTTCTATTCGCATTTTTGCTTTACTTTAATTGCCATTTTTGCTTTAGAGAAGTCACGCTCTTAACGATTTACAGTAATTAAAAACAACTTGTTGGCAACATTTGTCACATGTCGTTATTCGCGCTACACGTTAATATAAATTTTATGTGTGAAAGATATTCGAAAAATGTTACAATATGTGTTTCAACTATATTATTATCTATCAATATGTATTATTTCAAAAATTTTTGTGATAATATTTATCATTTTGAATGTTACATTTTAAAACTAATATGTCTTGATTATCATTTTTTTGCCGTTTTGTTCAAATAGAAGGAGTGATAAAGTCATTTTAACGGATTATAGATTACAGATCGTGATAGCGGCATTTATGAATTAAATCCACGTCTCCGATATTGCCGCGATATTGTACGACACGCGGGTTATTTGTGAGCAACTTCACATGATCCTATCTTCCTTCGGTCGTAACACACATCGAGCCTCCCAGATAATTCTAAAATTGATGCCCGAATAATTTCTCGATAGTCGAAGAAACACAAAGTGATGCATAGAAAGATGCGGAAAAGATTTTTGAAATATGATCCTTAAAAATCCGTATAATCTTGATTCCAAGAACGTCTTTCAAAATATGTATAATACACAGTGAAAAATAATAATTATGCTAAATATGATGTTAATTCTGAATGACTGGTTTGTGATGTAAATAATTCTAGATATTATTACGATCAATTCTACATTTTTGTCAACTTAACGATCGCGTTATTAATGCCGATTTAGCGTTGAGAATTAGTAATGTACTCTGCATCATATTTATGTATTTAGCTTGATGTATATGCGAAGTTAAACGTTGCACAAAAGCATTCTTGAACGTGACATCTTTTCATAAGCTCTCAAGGCGATGATGACAAATGTCACTTCGTGTCACGCCACCCGATAGAAAAGTTATACATTTGCAACATCACAAATGAGGTCTTGATGATGGTTAGCAACAAAGTATAAGGAAATGACGTTGCGAATATTTGCGTCAAGAAATACATTTAAAAAATTTTGCATTATAAATGTTTAATTGCCTATCTTTAATTCATAATGAATTTTTCAAACTGATATAATACTCGGATCATTTAACAGTAATAATAGCAGTATTATTACAAACTTCTATTAGTTTTTAGAATTTCGCCCGCTTCATTCTTATTTACACAAGTTTCTTGCGCCGGTTTTATTTGTTTTGATGATAAATCAGAAATTGCGGTTGATGTATACCGTTATTTCGTTGTACTGCAACGCGTTAAAACAGGCGGTAGTAATTCGAGCGCGCGAATCAAAACGGAAAATCAGACTCGGTCTATGTAAATCCGTGAATTATACGCCGGCTGATCGTATCGAATGCACAGATAGTTTCGTAATAGATTCGTAACTCCTAGTCGCGCTTTCGTCTGGTCCGCGGTTCAATCGACCGCCCTTGGTAATTCTACGATTAATGCGTTCAATCCGTCCCGCATTACACGCACGCTATCGCAGCACGCGACGATTTGCGCGGAGAACAGCGGTTTCCCCCGATTTTCTATTGCATAAATGGCGCGAATGGTAAATTGTTACTGTTACAGATGTTACTAATATCCACGAACATCAATAACTCTTGACGTTAATCTCCCGATGCTACGTTTGCGAAGTATCGTTGAACAATATTTCTGCTGAAGAATCATGCTAGCCATTCTACTGTTTAGTAAAGTAAAACTTTGGTGAAATCGTGAGAAAATTTATAAATAAAGCTTTACACTTTAAGAAAATGACACGATTGCAGAAGAACGCAATTCAATTCTGCTACTGAAGTTGTTCGGGTAAAATTTCTAGTATATTTTATTTAAAAAATGCTTTGACTTCATTAAAAACAATAGTACACTTTACTTTTTATGACAGTCTTACGAACAATAGCGAATAACATGTTTAAGTATCATATCGATGATCTCAAAATAACTTTGTACAGAATGTGGAGAGTCGGCTTTACGCCGCGTTCTAGTTTCTGCAAAATTTAATGTGTGATAATTTCAAGGATCTATCAATAATCTGAATAGAAACGGATTCCTGTAGTATTAGACATAATAGATCAGAAGCATATTTTCACAAGTGACATATTTAAACAAAATTAAATATTCTTTCCGATAGCAAAAGTCCAAAAATTCTAATATTATTTATTGCTTTCGGGAGATCGTGGAAATGTCGGAAAATACGAAAAATTCTCTTATAGGATATCTAAATTATTGAAATAGAGTCCGATATTCAAATATACTGCTTCGCGCTGTTTGTTTAGCTAGATTCGCAGGTTTGCGGGCGGTCCTCGGTTAACCAAAGGGTTGCCCGCGTTCGACCCGTGTTCAAACGACCGAACTTAAAGCAATATTACGTACCCGAGGATGCCGTAAAGCCGGCGTGCATGGCGTATCGCGGCGCAGCCATGTGCTGAGGATGCGGTGCCGGCGGCAGGGCCGCGTGCGACGGCGGGACCGTCGTCTGGGGGTGCACCGTCGCCGTCGGTCTCGAGAGTATCGTGTCGATGCCGTGGGGGTTGCTGCCGACGGAGGTGATGGAAGTTGCCGGGCTGTGCTTGTCGCTGCCGGTGGGCGATGACTGGCCCTGCGTTATAGTGGAGAGCGGCGGCACGGCGATCCGCGGCAGCTGGATGCCACCCTGTTGCTGCTGATGCTGCGGATGATGCTGCTGCTGGTGCGACTGTTGCTGCTGCTGCTGCTGCTGGTGCTGGTGCTGCTGCTGCTGCTGCTGCTGCTGTTGCTGCTGCTGCTGCTGGTGACTCCTCTCCGCCATGGAGTGCAGCGCTGCCAGTGGCTGGCTGCCCAGCATGCCGCCGCCGGCGGCGCTCAGATTGAGGAACTGCAGAACGTGGGGCGCGGCCGCCGCGTGGAAGTCGTGCAGCCAGGGCGGCCGCGGGGGCGGCGGCGAGTGGCTCGAGACGGGAGGCGGCGAGCATGAGCCCAACGAGGAGCCCGCGGACGAGCTGCGGTCGCCCTGGTCCAGGTGATGATTGTTGTTGCGTCGGTGCGCGTCGCTGAGCGACGACGACATGTTCTCGGCGATCTCGAGTCCGCCGCCCTCCGGCGTGGAGCGCGATGGCGCGTCCGGGCACGGGTCTCCGCTGTCGGCGCAGGCCTTGCCGCTGGTCAGAGAACACACCATCTCGCACCACGCATAGTTCGGTAGTGAGCGAAAAATCTTAGCCGGTGCTTTAGCTACGTGCTAAACGAAGGCGTGCGGCCGCCTCACAGCCGAGCGGGATTCTCGAGGATTCTCACCGAACCTTGCGGGTGAGTCCTTCAAAAGGGTGACTTTCGCAACGCCGAAAGTATGCGCGAAGGTGTCGTCTATTCCGATTATCAAAAGTACACGCGACGATATTATCACTGTGCGTTTTCGCCGAAACAACGAACTACCGATGACACACGTCCGACGACACGTTCACCGCGAGCGCGATTCCGATTGGCACTGTTCCTTCGTCGACAACTTCTCCTCAAATGTGCTCCCCCGCAGGTCAATCACTGATTCTTTCGTTCGCAAGCGAAACGCACGTCTACACGCGGGCGGCAGGTCGCACCGAGATGCCCGTTTCGCGAGTGGCGATCGATGAGTGGAAATAGTAGTCACCGCACACCGTGAGCAGTCACCAGTTCACCGGTTCCGCGCGATGGCACATGGAGAACGAGCGATTCGGGGATCAGTCGCGGAGCGACTACTGATCATTCGGCCGATCGACCGCACGCGCGCGACCAGGAAATCGTTCTTGCCGCGACGGTACCGAAGGCTCGCCGTGTGAGTCGCCGCGTCGCCAAATGGTGTGCGACCAAGGGGTGCATCGGGCGCGCACTCTCTCTCCGGCGGGAGATCGAGTCTCTCTCCTGTGCCTACGTCCTTGCCCTCGTCCTCGCGCGCGCGAAGCGGAAGCCCCCGCGCGCCAGGGGAAAGAGGTAGGGTCGGCCCACGGTGCGAGTGGATTGGCGTGCAGTCCCTGGCTCGGTTAAATGCTCGGGGGCGGTACCGCCGTCCGATTGGTCGACGCGGTGGCGTTTCACCGGAAGGAGAGGTGTTCCGGGCGGGGCCTCTCAATCTCGCGTTAGCTTCTTGTTAAGCGTCTTTCATTGTGTGTTTAAATTCGTAATTTATGATCCCGACTGAATAAAACAAGAACTTGCTGGTTCGCTCGCTCGCTCGCTCGCTCGCTCGCTCGTATGTTCGCCGGTTGCCTGGCCGGATGGCTGGCTGGCTGGTTGACTGAGCCTCTTGGCTCTGAGACTGGCTCTCCGCTTTGTACGACGACCGGGCATCTCTGCACGACCACGGTGACACTACTGTCTCGATAACTTGCTTCCTTCCTTCCGTGTCGTTCCTTCCTCTCGCTACCTACCTACCTACTCATTCGCTTATTCTC